TGACACGACGGCTTCTGCTTAGCCAGTGTCGACACTCTCGACAGGGATCCAGGCAAATTATCCAATGGAAAGCTCGGATCCAACTGCGGATTAGCAAGATCCAACGGACCGGCTTCAATTGCCTGCGATCCCCCATCCACCGACCCTTGGTTACCTGGGGACCGTCGCTGGGTATCTCCAGCTGTCTCGGATCCAGCCTCTACCACTTGGATCTCAATCCGACGATCTCTCATTAAGATCTTCCGCGGGGTTGGATATGAAGGTCGGTCCACCAAGGGCTCGGTCGGATCCGACGGGGATTCCGCCTCCTCGAGGGGCTCAGTCTCGGTAGTCGATTCAAACGCTAGATTCTGTCATTCTCTATAGCGACGAGACCCAACGGACACATATCCAGGTCGCCTAGGGATACCATCCTTTACCAGCCATCGCCCAATTTCCTCAAAGTGATCTAGTTATAACCTCATGTCAATGACATTCGTAGCCTGGAAGTACTGTGATCTACCCGGTCCTTGGATCACTGTAGGCACCGACTTCCCGCCCGAGTGGCCCACCGTTTCTCGCGTTTCACCCATTTCATCCGATCTGGCAATTCCCAGGTTTCCTCGAGCTTGATCCAGGTTTGTTTTGTCTGCCCTTATGATCCTCATCTTTGCTCCGTACAACGGTCGTCGTCCACGGAGCTGAATCCGCATTTCATCTGAGAAGCACAGTGTCCCATCTGCCGTATCCAACCTTACCCCGGCTGGTACCATGAAATCTATTCCAGGAATAGCATCTTGACCCGCGACGTCTCCGACCTCCCAAAGTTTCTATGAAATGATCCACGTGTTCCCGTAGTACCTTGGATCCCCCATCCTTGATCTTTAACTTGGCCTGTAGAGCGGCCACAATTAACCGATGAAGATGCTCCAGCGGAAACTCGTCCGATCGGCGGCGAGCATGATAGTATTGTCGCGCTACCGGCACCCCAATCCGACCACTTGTTCCTAGTGGATCTGCCCACCAATTTCTGGGTGGCCCCGCCAGCAAGTCCGCAAATGTCAGACACTTTTCGGCATCTGACGCTTGATCTCTCATGACCAGGCATCTGTAAACTTGGCATATACCAATTTGTACCAACATAGATAGTATTTGACATTTTAACGAAATAGGATTTGGCATCGATTTGGCGGTAGAAAGCTGCTGGTAGAGCTCCCATCTACTTCAATGTTAACCGGTGAGGTGCGACCGGTATTGTTCTGGTCTAAATGACAGCTCAAAGTACTTCGTGTTTGCATTTGTTTACGTTTCGAGCCAACTTTCTCCTCGCGCCCAAACGAAATACAGAACCGGCAAGCTACAGCAAGAACAACCCCACTTTAAGGATTGCGTTCAGAAATCTTCAGGCCAAACTCTAATAGGTGATGGTCTTGAAACGGTGTGGAACGTGATAGCTTGGAGCTTGATCCACTTTGTTGGATCGTGGTATATGGCGTGGAGACACTTGTCCCGCTTTTTTCCTGCCTATGAGACAAGCTCGAGGCACTGCAACCTCTTGCTACGACTGCTAGGAGCTAAAATGAAGCGCAATAAAGGCGAATGGGCGGAAGAAGGAGTTTCAGATCCTCTTACCGGGGCCATCTATTTTTGGAATTTTTTAAAGATTGGATTTGGCGCGAGTGCCGAAACTACCCACAAATGCCAAATTTAGAGATGCCTGCTCATGACGGCTGACTTGACTTTGCTGATTCATGTTTGCGCACGGTCTTCATCTTGATACTTGCCCGTGAAATCCTTCAGATCCGATATGGCTGAGATCCGTACCCTCTGGATCATAGACGATCCATCTGTCCCGGCTGTAGCTGTTGGTACCGCCGCTGGCGAAGGGAATGGGACATCCACATCATCTGGGTTGAGCTCATCATGGGAGTTGTCTCCCTCCACCGACTCCATTTTCACGTCTCGTGCTCCATGGTCATAGAACACTTGCGTTTGTGGCCTGAGCACCCTCATACCTTGTTCGGCCAGGAACCGACTCATCGCAGCTTCGAAGTGCCGTTGCAAGGTACCTGATGAGGTGTAGGAGGCCACGGTAGCCGTAGTCTGGTCTACTGTAGAGGCAGGATTCGTGAGACGATTAGCTTGAACTCGATCTGACGATAATCCAACTGGCTTCTTGCTGGATCTGGCTCGATCCTGGCTGAATTATCTCAGATCGCGGGTATGACGCCCTGGATTCCGTGTCTTCACACTTGAGGGCGCCTCCTGTCCCCGAATCTTGCCTGCGCTTCCAGCATTGACGCCCCGGAGAAACCTAGGGTCATGCGTCGCGGCTCGGAAGACGTATCTGATCCATGGTCAGCCGCAAATTCGTAGTTGGAAAGTGTAGCTTGACTGATCCTCAGCGACGACACTGGAGCCATAGTCTGCGGCGTTTCCCCGGCGATGGACTTGACTCTGACGAAAAGGTCCCGCGTCGCCGATAATATGAGATCCAAGTCTAGCTCGAAGATATCCTCCGCATCGAGCACACCAGCCACGATGCCCGAATCCGTAAGCAGACGTAATAGATCCTTAACTGTCACGAATTTGTTCGACGTTTTCGTTGGGGCTCTCACCGGTTCTCTTGGATCTTCGATCTGTCGTGGGTTCAGGATCCTCATTACAGGATCTTGATACAGAAAATCGCGTAGAGCTTGGTGGCGATACACGAACTCGAGATCCTTGTCGGACCAGCTTGACCTGGATCCAGCTTGGTCTTCTTCCGACTCTGGAGCTTGCATTCTCTTCCGCGTAGTCTTACTCGAACCGGTTTTCTTTCCCATCTTTTTGACTTGCGGACTTGTGCTTATGTACGGTGTCGAACTGACCGGTGAATCTGCAAATACATATCGTTTCGCTTTCCCTTTTTCTGGTTTTGTTAGCGGATCTCGACTTGCGTCAAGATCCACAGGGGTCCCCGAGGGGACCTGGGGAGGAAAGAGAGGCTGCTCTTCTAGATTCCGGATCCGGACCCACTTGTCTTCCGTCGACAGAGCTCCTCCCAGGACTCCATCGATCCGCGGGTCTTGCTTCATTCAACAGCGTCTTCGTCGATCCGACCTCGGATGACGCCTCTTCCCCTGGCTCAATCCTCACTTGAGTCTCTTCTTGGGACTCACGGTGAAATTCTGAGTCACCTAAAGATCCGGGCACGCGCACCAATGTGGTGTAGCGGGATTATCAAAATTTGCGAGAATTCCGGATCGAGCTTCAGATCACTTTCGTATTCTCCATTCGGTGCACAAGTTATCGAGCTCAATATTCCTTCACATCAATGAACGTCCGATGTTTGGTTGTAATCGCCGCGGTCGCAACCGTTGCGGCTAATGCCGGTAAGATTGACCACAACAAAGTCAAACCGTTCGCCCAGCCTGATTCAGCCACCATTCTGAGAAGGCAGGAGTCGGGTTTAAGCCACAGCTCAACATCGCAGATGGATGTGTTTCATTTCTGACCGATAACGGTACTGGTGATGTTAGCGGCGGATTGAAGGGAACTAATGGCAACTCCGCGTGCGATAATGCTTCGCTGGGCTCACAACTGCTCGGTCGAGCGGACTGGTACAGCAATCAGTCGGCTATCATGCGTGTCTGGTTCTTTCGCAAGGGGGTTCTCATTGGCGTGGCGTGGCGTCAAGACAAAGACTAGGCTAGTGCCGTCGTGTGGATCGACAATCCTGAGCCAGCTAATCTCGAGCTTTCGACGTCTTCGTTGGACGACGTGCTCCAAAATAAGTCCCCCTTTCTAGACTTTTTTCTCAACGATGTTATTGCTTGATTAGCGAAATAGCTGGGCAACCTATGCTGGGTTACAGGTGACTTTCTGCCTCTCATCATGTGGGAGCAGCTCACCAGACTCTCAACACTTTTGACTTCGGTGATGCCCTGGTTCCATTCAACGACGCCAACTTTGAGGAAAAGCTCAAGAAATTCTGAGCGGACACACTACACCTGTCACTTGTGCACGTTTTTTCTAAATCCTGAATTGGGAATAAGTTGTGCGTGTCTTGGTAAGTACTGTACAGGTCTTCCCAAAACGAAGTGAGCGTACCCATTGGGCCGATAGACAATGATGCGCAAATGAAGTCAGTCAAAAAGTCAATGGCCACTTTCTAATTGCGCGTGCCCAGCCCAAGAATGGCGCTGTTGATCCCTCGAGTATTAGCATGTTCGCTAGTATTCAGCTCCGTCCAGGCGCGGACCGTCTCGTTCACGAGCTATTTCGCCGACGACACGTGCTCTGGGACGCCCCAATTTATCTACGAAGAAGATGTGGAGAGCTGTCTGTTCTCTGACTGCACAACTCTATCAGTCGACGAGGCCGCCAATTCGACGCGCATAGACTGCTACAGCAACGACCGGACCGAGACCGCCGCACTCTTCGCCGATGCTGACGCGCCCTACGTTCTACTGGAGCAATACACGCCACCGAACACGTGCGACACCTTCTCCAACGGCCAAGCGTTCTACGCCAACGGACTATGTAGAGCCCTACCCAACACTACGACGTATGGGAGTGCCCTCGCTTCTGTAAACAGAGATCTGTCCGTAACGCTGCAATTATTCAGTGACACTCCATGTACCGAGATAGAGAGCAATTATTCCGTCGCTAGTGGCGATGTGCAGTGGACGTGCTTTGTGGGTTATACGAGCGACTACGGCCTCGTGTTCTACACGTCGTTGTCGGCGACATTCAGTAGAAGAGCGGGGACGGGAACGGTAGTACGACAGGCTCGGACTTTACTATTGTCAATGTGGGTTCAAGTAATAGTAGTAGTAGCGGCAGTGAGGCTACTGCTACTTCAGAGCCCGCGACGTCCGCCTCTACTGACAAATCTGGCTCTTCCGTATCAGCGGGAGTGATCGCTGCCATTGCAGTCGGGTGTGTCGTTGTGGTGGCGCTAATTGCGGGAATTCTGTGGTGGAGGAAGCATAGAGAACAGTCAAGTGACGACTCCCATAGAGGGAATAAAGACGCGTATGGCGAGGTACTACTCGGTCAGGATTCTTCTCAAGGTAGAACAGCGTCGACGCAACAGGGCGCAAGCTCCGATTTCAATGCTGAAGGTCTGTGGACGGATGAAGCCATTGTAGCAGCAAGAATTCCACGAGAAAAAGTTATTCTACAACAGAGAATCAGTCGCGGAGGATACGGAGAAGTGTACGTCGGGACGTTCAATGGCCAACGCGTAGCCATCAAGATGTTGTTGCCTGAAACTCGCAAGAGAATTCACAGTGTGAACGAGTTTCTGGCCGAAGTGAAGCTCATGGCGTCACTGGAACATCCGCGTATTGTCGAGTTTATTGGTGTGGCGTGGGATTCTCTTACAGATTTATGCGCCGTATCGCAGTTTATGAAAGGCGGAGACATACGCGCACTCTTAAATCGGTGCGATAATACTGGATTTGACTACACGAAAGTGAAGATCGCTCTTCACGTGGCCCATGCTTTAACGTACATGCACCAGTTCGATCCTCCGATAATTCATCGTGACCTCAAGTCGAAGAATATTCTACTGACAGAGGACCTCGACGCAAAGTTGACGGACTTTGGGGCTTCTCGGGCACTATGACCGCAGGGATCGGGACGTCTCTGTGGATGGCGCCTGAAATGATGACAGGCGAGAAATACGACGAAAAAGCAGACATTTTCTCGTTTGGAGTCGTGTTGTCGGAGCTGGACTCGAACGCTTTACCGTATGCGAATACAGGTTAACATCGACAGGCCTCCGACTTGGCAATTCTGCAACTTGTGATGCAGGGGAAACTACAAGTTAATTTTTCAGAGGCGTGCTCTCGGGTTATACTGGAGCTGGGTATGGCATGTGTAGCAATTGACCCCATTGCTCGTCCAACAGCAGCCGAAGCGCTCTATCAGCTCCAAGTAGCTCTGCTGAACAACAGTAATTAACCCCCTGGTTCCCGACGTCATAACTTACGCCATACGAAATCCGCTATGTCGTAACTTACGACATAGCGGGGGTGACATTAGAAAACCCTATTGACAATAGTTTAGCGAGATATATTCAACTATATAAGATGCGAGAGACCAAATGAGCAGTGCACAAAAACTTAACAGCGGGAAGGAGGTACGGAGAATGCGACACGTGGGATACATTGGAAGACCGTTTGCGTGTCATTCTAGAAATTGCCGAATGGCGCGCATCCGATCGACCAAGCGCGGGAAGACGGCCGCCGTCGCTGCAGCCGCGAGGGATACCGATTTCCGGTACCTGTGGAGACAACTACGGCGTGTTGGCTGGACGGCGAAGCGCCCAACAGGGATAGAAACTGAGTGGAGGTACGTGGCGCCGGATAGCTCTGAGGTGTTCGTCGGTGAGGATGCCGTCGTCGTGCATGCACTAGAGTCTGGATTGCTGGCTGAAGACGAAGGCGACGAGGAGTCAGAATTGTTGGCTGCGGACCAAAGCGAAACGGAGTCAGGACTGCTGGCTGGAGGTCATAGCGAAGAGGACGAAGGCAACGCCAGCAGCACAGCTACGGTAAACGCCGGAGACGGCATTGTTGGGGCTTCTCAGATTGATACCAGCACGAAGCTGTCGCAACGCACCCTGGACGATCTGTTTGGTTCCGAGAGTGACTCGGACGTCGCTCTCTCGCAGGCTGCAGTCCCGCGAGCATTTGATATGTCCCCTGGAGATCTTGAAGATGCTGGGTCGGAACACAATGCAGGAGCAAGTCTGCAATTGCTATCGGAAGCTTCTGCAGTTGAGAGCGAGGCTGATGTGGGCGATGATCGTGCTGCCACTCCTGGCCCAGTGCTTCGGCCGACCATCATTGTGAAGAAAAACATCAATTTTGTCCCAGAAGATGAAAACTTGAGTTCGTACGAGAGCTTTAGCTCTGGAGAGAGTGATATAGGAGGAATTGAAGACAGCAACGACGGTGCCGCCGTTGTTGATACACCAAGTGACGATGATGTTTTGTCTGATGACGACGCGCCGCAGATGGACAGTGCCTTTGTCCAGTCCCTTCTGATAGGAGAAGACGTACTCAACAAGAAAGCTGCAGATGCGCGGTCAAATGCCCTACGAGCTACGAAATGGACACCAGTATCATCCGCGTTTGAAGAAGCGTCAACTGCGTACCCGGGCCTCAACACCACTGAAGTGGCTAAACCCGTCCAGGAGCTGCAAAACGTGTGGAATTCTCCACTTCTCACACTGTTTTACTTTATGCCCAAATCTCTGTGGGTGGCGATCAATGTCGAGACGAACCGGTACTGTATGCAGCAGATTGCGCGCCGTGCCCAAGCCATTCATGCCAAGCAAACTGACCGGACACGGGAGACTCCAGCTCAAATTCGCCGACGTCTACAAGCTAAACCCGCGTACCAACACACACGAAATCCTGCAAGTGCTGGGGCTTCTCATTGCGCGGATGCTCTGTCCACAGAATCGTCGTTTTGCGGCGCATTGGTCCATGACGGAGGATGGAGCCGTTCCAGCGGGAACGTTCGGCCGTTTCATGGGGAGAAACCGCTGCCAGGACATCCTGCGTGACCTCCACATCGTGGACAACGAGAGGGAACGCACACGGGACAAGCTCTGGAAAATTCGGCCGATCGTGAACAAGCTCCAGGAGCTTTTCTTGGCGGCATGGTCTCTTCCACCTGTATTTTCTTTCGACGAGGGCGTTTTACCGTGCACTTCGAGGAGAAATACTACCCGAATGTTCATGCCGGATAAGCCTCATCGCTACGGCTCTAAAAAATTTATGGTGTGTGATGCTAGGACCGCTTACTGCCATAGGTATTGTATTTATAATCTATGTCATAACTTACGTCGTGTGAGTTCTATTCTAATATCCTATGTCGTAACATGTAGATTTGAAATGTATGCAGGAAAACGAAATGCAGGTGATACTGGAGACAGTTCATTTGACCATAAGACGGGTGCTGCTGCCGTCGTCAGGAACCTGATGGTCGTTCTCAACGCAGACCGTCGCCATGCGTGGCACTTGGTCGTCATTGACCGCTTCTACTCTTCAGTACTCCTCGCTATCGAGCTTCTCGGAATGAGCGTGTACGTATTGGGCACTATTATGACGGACAGGCTTGGCTTCGACAAGAACGTCAAAGCGGTACGCAAGACACGACCAGAAAGCACCCCTCGCGGCGCATTTACTTTCTCTCGCTGTGTTGACGTCCCCACCATGGTAGCTTACCACTGGTGGGACAGAAAACCTGTGCACTACTTGTGCACGGGATCAGTGATGTCGGCGTCAAATATCAACAGAAATGTGAAGCGTGTGGGGCCCGTAACTGTACCATGCCCGGCTGCGGTAACTGACTATCAGCGCTGGATGGGCGGAGTGGACGTGCACGACCAACCCCGCCTCCAGAAATTCTCGTTGCAGACGTCGACCAAGTTCCAGAAGTATTATATGAGCCTCTTCTTGGGGTTGGTGGATCTTGCGTTGGTAAATGCTAACCTTTCGCACAAGGAAACGGCTCGGCTTTCAGGAACTACTGCGATGGCACGTGGGGAGTGGTTCTGTGTTCTCCAGAACCAATTGCTTCAGTTGAAGGCTGAAGACTTTGCTGGGATTTTGGCGACGCCGCCATCACATTGCCAGAAGCGCAAACGTACTCCGGTTCGCCTCGCCCATGAAGTTGAGCAGTCCGATGATTGGGTGACGGTTAGCGGCGTGCAGAAACGTCGCCAGAGATCCTGCAAAGTTTGCGCCCTTCTAAGGACCAACAAGAAGAAGAAGTCATTTGCAACTACGTTCTTCTGCGAGCGATGCTCGGTGGACAACGCAAAATGTTGGCTCTGCAACAAAATCAGGCACACGTACAGGGGCGAGGCAAAGACCTGCTTTGCGATCTGGCATGAAGAATTTGACTGTGGCCAGTCGATCCCTGCTGCACTAGGAGCGAAAGTTGTGCTACGCCGTCCCGGGCAGGCAGTTGGGCAGAGGAAGAAGACCCGACGAGAGCTCCAGCTACACAATGGAGATGCAGACGACGAGGGAGAGGGAAACTGAGGTGCAGGCGATCAGGAGTTAGTTCCGTCCGTGCACAAGAGTTAGGTGGCAGCTTTGATGAGTGGCAGCTTTTGTTGAATCGAAATGCACTTTTTGCTGATTTGTGTCGTCTTTTTCCTCTGACTGGATACTTTGTGTCACTGTGGGCGTCTTTTTTTTCTGGTTAAGGTGTCAGTGACGACATTGAGTCTCTGGATGGCGCTGACAAAGTGTATAAGTTACGACATTGAAAACAAAACCTGTTGAGACTTTATAGCGCTTCCCGCAGACGTCTATGCACAACATACAATAATTCAGTGAATACGTACGTCGTAATTTATGACATAGACGTATCGTAACTAACGTGTTTGGGGTCCAAAATTCCGGGAACCAAGGGGTTAAGCACTACACTTTTTTTTAAGTTTAATGCAGGTATTGTCGATAACTCAATATCAAAATGATCCAACGAAGAATTATGAATGTTTTAGAGAAATGCCATCGGGAGATACTTTCGCTCCTTCTTTTAACCGATCCAGAATCAGCTTACCGCACTGAACGTCAATCGCTCGAATAACCAGCTTTATCTACAAGTGAGAAAACCAAGATTAGCTACACAAAAGACAAAATAATAGTTTAAATATGGGAGATGTCGAGCTTACCTCAAACCTGTCGTCGACGACGGGATGCTCTGAAATTGACTCAGCTCGAATGTTCATTACTGGAACGTCACACGATGTACCGTAATACGCAGCCATTTGTCGCGATAAAGCAAGGCGACAAATTTTATTCAAGGCGTATCTCTGATAGCTTGGTCGTTGCCGGAAGCTACATTTTGTCACCAAACACCAGTTGCAAGCGTAGCCGTAAATCCCGAAAAGGTCGCTGTCTTCGAGCCGCTATCCGTGGTGTAGTTCACCAAAGAAGACACGATTTCCGGCTGGAAACTCTATCGTCTTTGCTTCACAGTCAAACTCAGAGACCGGCCGCAACTCTGTTGGCACCCCGGGCACTTCCACTACCTTGCTATGGATTGCAAGTCCTTCTAGTGGAGAGAACTCCGTAACAACTTTTTCGTGTAGGTCGGTCTCAAAAAAATAAAGCCGTTCTCTCTGATCATCGAGCGCCAATATCAAAAACAGCACTACTAATATAAAAAAGTAGCGAGCGCACATACATGTCTTAAATCAAACTCGGGCTTTTAACGTTTTCCCTTCGTACCAAACCAGGATATCTTTTCCGGCAGTTCGGAGCTCGGGGTCGTAGTACCCATTGTATCCGAAAGCAGATGAAGATCGATACAACAGGCGTGAAATCTGAGTGTCCATAGCGTCGAGAATTGTAACATTGGTGCTCCATCGTTGCGGATGGTATCGGACCGGAATCTTAACGAACACGTGGACTTGCCCAGAGGAAAGATGCGGTATGTGTTTATCCCCCCACCAGCTTAAGAGGGAAGTTTTCGGATCCGTCGGCGCCCCAGATGTCAACTTAGCAACTTCTTCATCATCAACCCCATTTTCGAGCTTAATCACGAATTAGTCGTCGCGTGCCAGCCACGCGCCATCTTTTATGGCCAAGTGTAGTTCAAGCTCGCTGGGGGCACACTGAAGCGCATTATTCTGCTCCTTTGCGACCAGCGTTTTCAGATCACCAATCGTCTTATCTCCCTGGACATTTACAGCAAAAGGAGAGCCACCAAACCCGAGCAATACACAAGAAAGCGTCAGCATTCTTAAATTTCTTGAGCTGTTGGACTGGTAGCGCAAAAAAAATATGTTTGGGCTTTTCGGCAATACTGTAGCTTTCTTCCGAAATTCCGACTATAGTTTGACAGATGTATAATCTTAGTCTAAAACATGTACATGGAGCATGAATAAAGATGGAAAAGGTTTATTCACGAAGAGAGGCTAAATTGAGCACGCAAACGTCCGCGACTGACATGTAAATTATCAAGTATTTCTTGAAAGAATCCGTACCACCTCCTCGTACGCCTCAACGTATTCCCTGAATAGATTACGGCTCGCACCCTCGTCTACACGCAACAGAGAGTAAACCCTTCGCGGTTCCAGCATTCTATACAGCCATAGGGTGACCTGCCAGTTTTGTAGCTCCGCAGCCATCGCTTTGGTACTCGGCACTTTCTCCGCCGCCATGAGCACGTCGGCAAGCTTTCTGTCGCTGCCATATACGCGTGTCAATGCCACGGCCGGGTTCCACGTTTTTCCGAGATTCATTTCAGTAACATAGCGCCCGTAGTTGTACCAAATGCCGAAAAGCGGGTTTTCAAACACCTTATCCAATGTCACGTCAAGGTTCATCATAATAAAGACATCGTATGGGGACTGTCTAGCCAACCGCCAATCTCGTTGCAGTTCGGACTCCAGTCGTTGGCCGATATTTATCGTATTTGGATTCCCATTCGCCTTCACGATCATCTTCGCGACGGCTTGTGGCTGATCAAAGTGGACATGGTGGCTAGGCCGGTGTCGTAAAGCAATCGGAAATCGTCCGCGTACTTGATCCAAGCACTGAAGAGAGGGTTCTCGAAAAGCGTATCTCCTGCCTTCTCCAGCTGCAACATCGTGAAGATGTCGTCAGGCTGGAGGCCTTTTTTTAACCAAAGTTGTGTCTGCTCGGTTTGAATTCGCTTGGCGATGCTGCTCGTACCACGAACCTTGTTCGCCTCGATCAACATATTCGCTAGTGTTTTGTCGCTGTATCGAGCTGACAGAATCGAGATCAACGTCTTCTTCTTATCGGGATTCGCCTCGTTAAAATCATCCAGATATTTGATCCAAGTGGTGAGTCCAGGCTTACTGAAAAGGTCGGACGACACCCAACCAAATGGCCAAAACTTGTTCAGCTTCAGAAGCCCAAAGACTTGCTCGGGGCTTTTGCCTTGACCCATCCAGAGCTGGATCTGCTCAGTCTGCAATCGATTCGCCATCCGAGCGGTCTTTGGAACCTGCTGTCCCGCTTCAATGATCCTGGCCAGGTCTTGGTTGCCATAGTGAGTCGTGAGCGTCGCGATCAAAGTCGTCTTTTTGGCGGGGTTTGCCTCGTTAAATAACCTCAAGTAGCTGATCAGAGCGGCCAGCTGCGGGTTATCCAGAAGGTTATCCCCCGCCTTCTGGAGCTGCAACGCCTTGAAAACGTAGTTCGTTGTATCACCCTTCTTGGCCCACGCCTTGAGTTGCTCAGTGGAGACGGCAGACTTGACCAGACTCTCCACCGTCGACGTACTTATTACCCTATCTTCATCTGCGGCCCTCAGCAACCGCCTGTGGTTGACATCGCCCTGATGCGAAAGAGGCAAAATCCAAGTATCCGATGCAATTGGCTCTGGTTTCGCGGCAGCCAAGGCCGCGATGATCGCTGCCACAAAGACAGCCAACGCCATCCCCTTAGCGATGTTGTGGCGTGTTGGCATGGCGTCAGTCAGAGTGGCCCTCCGATTGATTACGGCATTGATACTGTAGTGAGCTGAGCAGGTTTTGCAGCAAATCACTCTGCCATCACAAACTGTGAATGTGCTATTATAACAACTAACACAACTCGACTTAACCCCTCTAGCCCCGCCGCCTGTATTCTACAGGATATAAATTTTCGTATCCTGTATTCTACAGGATAACAAAAAGGCCATTTTCCTCAGTAGAAAAAGTAAGTGTTTCCATACAAATTTCAAGTGTCCACTGAATTATAAAGTTTTAGAATCACGTTGCTAACCTCGGGGCAATAATTCGTGGCTACGACTTTTTCGAGATTTAAAGAGAGCGAGCGGCGCGCAAATTTCGCGCCATTTGCGAGTCGGACGGACATCAGCAAGAACAGCCTCATGCCAAAGCGGAAGCACATCCGGCCAATAACTTGGGGCAAGCTCTGGACGAAGCTAAAAAGGTTAGGATGGCAATTCGAGCGACCTAAAGGGCTATCCAGCCAAAACCGATACTTCACGCCAGGAGGCTGGTCAAGAAGACCAAACGCTACGCATCTTGTCGACTACTTCGATGGGCCAGATGAAGTATGGAAGCATTTACCCGTGGAAGGTATGCCGATTGGATGGTACTGACCTACAATCTAGTGGCTAATATTCAAAAGTTTTGTATGATGAGGTTCCTCCTGTAACGGGCCAGGTATTTACTCCGTTACTTGCTTACACTATAGTGTTGAGGAAGCTCGCAATAGGACGACTGAGTCTTAGGTTTAAGGAAAAATCAACTCTGACTTTATTTTAGGACCAAGGCCACAGCCCTGGCCACTCAAATACACGTCATAGTCCAATTGGCTAATAATGGGTCTGGCTCCCCATATATCAGCCAATGGCATGACAGCATTTCAGCACACGCTAGTCGTGTGCTGATGCACCTACTTTTGTAAAGAAATCTACCTACTTATGTAATGGAGGGGCCCATTACATTACCCCCCCTCTTAAAGTTGCACTTACGCAACATAAGCAGTGGGCGAAGAACAAATCAATCTGCGTGAGGATGGCGAACGGGGACTTGGCTAACGGGCGGAGCGAAACAGAGACGGAGACATCTCCTGCGAAGCGCAGGAGCGACATAACTTGACTTGCGGAGAAGACGACGAACAGCACGATGGATCAACAGCGGACGGGGACACCGACGACGGCGACGTCGTCGACCGCAGCGGCACGGGGCACGCGCGTGATGGACGACCAGCTCCGGGCATGGGCTCTCTATGACATATCCGGAGCGCGGGCTCCGGACACACTGGACACGATGAAGGATCACTTCCGGCGCTTCCGAGGACTGCGTCAGAAGCCTGTCGAGGGTGTCGCATATGGCGCATGGCAGGAGTCGTGGTGCGCCTTCATCCGGCGTTGGAACCGGACGCAGGAAGAAGGGGAGAGCTTCGTCGGCTGGCTGGTGTACCGCGAGGAGATCGTCAAGGAGCACTCGCTCACGGAGCTCCGTGAGCGCGTCTGCACCAGCGCATGGGAGGACATGCGCCGCATCTGCTACGTGAGGGTCGCTGAAGGTTGTGGCACTTGTACTGGATCGCGTCCGACTGTCGAGGAGTGGAGAAGCCACATCGCCGAGTATCCGCTCGGTGAACAAGAACACGGGTGGATCGAGAAGTATCGTCGCTCGTTGGCCGAGAACGTGCGCGCCTCTAATCGCGCCGGCTCACGCCGACGCCCTGCACGTGAAGATTCTTGGCATCGGACTCGGTCTCGTTCGCGCGACCGCTCAAGTCGTCGTTCTCGATCACGTTCGCGTGGTCGCACAAATCGCAGATCTCGGTCCCGTTCACGTGGTCGACCAAGTCATCGGTCTCGATCACGTTCGCGTGATCGCTCGAGTCGCTCTCCTCGTGCGAGCTGGCATGTGTCACAAGGTGGTTTGCAGCGAGGCTGGACTCATACGCCTGCACCACATTCGGGACGTCCCGAAGGAGATTGGCGCGAGGCTCCCACGTATCCTCGTCGGGAGGAAACCCGAGCCAACGTACCCGATAGCGACGGTCGGCTGGAACATCGTGGGCGAGCCCACGATGACGTTTGGGAGCGCGAAGTGGATCTTCGTGGGCAACGATGTACTCAACAATCCAGCGGGTATCTCCGGCAGCGTCAACAACAGGAGGAGGGCCGTCGCGTCGATAGCACTCGCGCTCTGGCTGCCCAGAGCGAGAACGACTTGCTGAACAGCTACTGGGATGTCCAGCAGGAGTTGGATGAGGCTCTCGATCAGACTGCCCGGGCCACCGGGGAGAGTGCGCAGCTGCGTCAGTCGAACCGAGAGATCCTTGCTCGGTTGCAGATGCTGGAGAGGTCGGTTCACGGACGTTTGCAGACGGGGACGCAGCCTCGAGATCCGACTCCTGGTGCGGATGGGTCAATGGCTCGCCGCGCCCGTCGAGAAGGTCGCTCGACGCATGCTCCGGTTCAGTAGCCTGATGCGACTCTGGAATCGTAGCGGGGTGATACTTCTTGAGCCGTCCGACGTAAAACGTCGGATGCAGACGTAGTGACGTAGGAATGTCAAGCGTGTAGGCATCACCAATGGCTTTGATTACCGTAAATGGCGCAATAAAGCGCGGCGCGAGTTTGTTCGCGCCGAGGTTGGTAACCGCAGAGTTTCTGATACCTTCAGTCGACAGGAGCACGCGTTCGCCTGTCGTAAACGTGGCCGTGTTCTTGCGGCCGATCCTATCGGCGTTCTCCTTCTGCTTGTCCACTGCATCCTGCAGTGCGTCTCGAACATAGCGGGTGACCGCTTGGCGCTGTAGTACGAAGTCGGAGACGACTGCGGAGTCGATTGGTCGCGCCGCATGCTTCGGCGCGTAGTTAGCTGGCGCAAGTGAGCTCGATGCGGAGCGTGTCACTGCGTTGACCGACGTGGGAGCAGGGGATACACTCGAGATATCATTAGCAACCGGTGTATGTACCGGTTGACCCAGTACCGGTGTAGCCGCCGGAGACATCGCAGATGGAGTAGACGGCTTGTCGGCAGCTTCTTCCCCACCCAGAGTGGAGACACGCGGCGCTGTGGGATGGCCCACGGCGAGGAGAGCAGGGACACGCGGGTGTCGCGCGTTATTAACGAAGAAGGGCGTCAGCCCAGTCGACGCGTGTACCGCGTTGTTCAGAGCGAACTCGGCCAGTGGCAGAAACGAGCTCCAGCTGGAGAACGACGTCGCGTAGCTTCGAAGGACGTCTTCGAGGACGCGATTTACGCGCTCCGTCTGGCCGTCCGTTTCCGGATGGGCTGCTGTGGACATCATTAGCTTCGAGCCCAGTAGCTCGAAGAGCTTCGACCAGAAGGCCGACGTGAAGCGCGGGTCGCGGTCGGAGACGATAGATTCGGGAAGGCCATGATGACGGAAGACAGCATCGAGGAAGTGCACCGCGGTATCTGCCGCGGTGATCGCATCCGACACCGGAATCAGGTGAGCCATCTTGCTGAAGCGGTCTACGAATACCAAGACACCTGATCGTCCTTTAGCATCGGGTGGGAGCCCGAAGATGAAGTCCATCGACACCGAGCGCCAGGCCTCGGTGGCCACTGGTAGAGGACGCAAGGGAGCCTGCGAAGACGAGGCAGGTTTCATGCGCTGGCAGGTCTCGCAGGTGCGCACCCACTTACGCACCCATTTGTACAGGTGTGGCCAATAAAAGTCGCGTGACACAGCGGCAAATGTCTTCTCGCGACCGAGATGAGCGCCCAGCGGGGCATCGTGAAACTCATGGATAATCCGTGAGCGCAGATCGGGGTCATTAGGGACAACGACACGTGGGGCATCGAAGTTGTCGATGCTGTACGTCAGCAGCTCGTCCTTGAGACGATATCGGTGAGTTTGGTTTCGTACGGATCGGGAAAGGGCTCCCAGTGTGTCGGCGCTGGGAGAGCGGAGATGCTCCAGGATACTGGAGCACGTCGAGTCATGTTCGTAAGCAGCTCGGATCTTGTCACGGAGTGGCATTACCGGGGAGACACTCGTCAGATTGACACCTGACGCCTCGCACGTGGCACACTCGTCTACATCGTCTTCATCCAGCGAAGCTTGTCGACCCAATGCACCGCGTGGGTCGTAGTCGGGACGCCGAGACAAAGCGTCGGCGAGAATGTTGTTCTTGCCGGGTTTGTAGTGGACAACGAAGTTGTACTCGGAGAAGAACGAAAGCCAGCGGGCCATCCGCTGGGAGAGATGAGGACTCTTCATCGCTGTCCTCAGCGATGCATGATCGGTGTACACCGCGAAGGTATCCTCACCCAACAAGTACACTCTGAACTTGATCAGAGCGTAGCGCATCACAAGGAGCTTCTTGTCGTGAGCAGGGTAGCTGCGCTCCGCCGGCTTCATTTGCCTGGACTGGTAGCTTACGACACGCTCTCGATCTTCTTCATCGAATTGCATCAGCGCACAGCCGATGGCGAAATCGCTCGCGTCGCAGACGACGTGAAAAGGCTTCGAGTCCTTCGGGAGCGCGAGGATTGGGGCCTCGGCGAGACTCTTCTTCACCGAGTCGAAGGCGGCTTGATGTGCGGAAGTCCACGACCACGACACATCTTTCTTCAACAACGAAGAGAGCGGCTGGATCAATCCGGCGTAATTCTTCGTGTACTTGTGGAGATAATTTGCGAGACCCAGCCACTGACGCAGTTCAGTGGGATTCTGTGGCGTAGGCCACGCACATATCGACGAAACTTTCTCGGGGTCGGCGCGGACGCCGTTCTTGCTCACAAAGCAGCCAAGCACCGGAATCTCCGGCGCGCAGAATATACACTTCTTCAAGTTGGCATACAGCTTGTTTTCGCGCATCACTTGGAAGACTTGCCTCAGATGCTTCAAGTGGACTTCAAGCGCGCTGAGGCCTCCCTCAGCGCGACTGTGTACGAAGATGTCATCGAAATAACTCGGTGCGAAGTCGCGGAG